GGGTTCAAGGCGGTGGTTGGTCCTGGCGGTCCCGCCCCCCGGGAAAGGACGGCGGGCCCGCATAATAGCTTGGCGGCTGGTGGCTTGCACATTCCTGGCGGCTTGGAGGCCTTATCCTTTCCTGGAGGGGGCTTTATCCTTTCTTTCTCCTTGCTTACGCTTTCCCCCCCCGCCTCGGGACTGAGCGCCCGGGCCACCCGGCGACGACCGGCAGCCACCGAGATGGGGCAGCTGAACCGTGCTTGCAGGAACATAAGAGAGCGGTTTCAGAGGGGGGAGCGCCGGGAGGAGGGTGGGGGGCGGCGTCGGCGGCGCCCCGGATCTGCTTCATCTTGAGCGGGTTGTCGAGGATCCGCTTGAGCGCCTGATCTCGGGACGATCCCGGGTGATACTAGGGCCACCCCCGGGTGATTTCGGGCCCTCTCCCTGTCAGGGCCCTCTCCGGCCGGCGCCTCTTGCTCCTTTGCGCGCATCATCACGAGGGGGTCGTTGTTCATCTTGTTGAACTCCTGCGGGCGAGGCGGTGCGGGGAGGGGCTCGGGGAAGGGTCCGAGAAGGGCCTCCTCTGGTCAAGTGTGTGTGTGTGTGTGTGTGTGTGTGTGTGTGCGTGTGTGTGTGTGTGTGTGGAGTGAGTGTGTGTGTGTGTGTGTGTGTGTGTGTGTGGAGTGAGTGTGTGCGTGTTGCGGTTGTGTGGGCGGGCGTGTATATGTGTGTGTGGCTCGTGGCGGGGTTCCGTGCAGGTGTGTGCGGTGCGTACGGGTGCATGCGGGTGTGTGGCGTGTGTGGCGTGTCGCTGTGTCTCTGTCAATCAGCAGAAACTGCAGGCCGGTGTGGGGGTCGGGCGTGTGGCGTGTGCGGCTCTGTGACCACGCACTGTCTGCGGTGGCTGGGCGTGGCGCGCGCGGCTGTCTGCTGCACCTCGTTGTGCGAGCTCGAGAGGTTGTTCTGGCCGTTGAGAAAGTTGGAGCCAGGCAGGTGCTCGACCTGGACGGAGAGGGCGCGGGTGGGCGGGCGGGCGGGCGGGTGGGGACGGTGGGGCGCAGAGAGGGCGAGGGTGGGGCCGTGGCGCGAGGGGACTGGGGAGAGCGGCCGGTCCGCGGCGGTCGAGGGTTTGGCGTGAGGGGCGGGGCGGGCGGGGAAGAGAGGGACGGCGGGCGCCTTCTTGATGTCGTGGTCTTCTGGCTTGAGCTCGACGGGCTTTCCGAGCAGGTACGCGGACGCGGCCGTCTCCTGCTGCTCGTACAAAAAGTCGACGCGCTCCTTGCGCGGCGCGACGAGGCCCTGCTCCTGCTGCAGCCGGAGCAGCTCCTCTTTCTGGCGCTCCTCCTTGAGCGTGTGGGTGTACTCCTCGAGCTTCTTCTTCTCCTGCTCGAGCTTCTGCTCGGCCAGCCAGACCTTCTCGACGTTGCTCACGTTCGCCACGTGCCACGACTTTTTCGAGAGAAACGAGAGCGACATGCTGCGGGTGGCGACGACCGCGCTTGCAGCGCGGCGCGGTCTGGAAAAGAATTCCGTCGCATAATCTGGCACGAAAAAGAAACAGCTACCCCGCGTGGGGAAACATCGCGAGCCTCGCCGCCGATGGCCTCCCACCGCATCGGCGCGCGCGTCGCGGGCCTCTCGCCAGAACAGCTGTGCGCCATCATCGAGGCGCAGGCGGGCGCGAGCGACGCCGCGCTGCGCGTGGCGGACGAGCACGCCACACGGCTCGTGGAGCAGCCCGAGTGGGTGCTCTCCGAGGTCCTCCTCTCGCCGGACCTCGCACCGCACATCCTCGCCCGGCTGCCGACCAAGGAGCACGCCATCAAGGGGACGTGCCGCGCGTGGCGCCGCGGCTGGAAGGAGACGCTGAAGAAGCGCGATCGGCCGCGCCTGCTCGTGATCGGCGGCGAAGGCAGCGACGGCGAGTTTGTCAGCTCGCTGGAGCGCTACGACCCGTCTACGAATGAGTGGGAGGGGGAAGCGGAGACTATGCCGCCGATGCCGACGACACGGAGCAATGTCGGTAAGGCGGTGCTCGACGGCAAGTTCTACGCAGTGGGCGGCATGGAGCGCAACGTCGAATTTTCCCCCTCGGTGGAGCGGTACGACTTGGCGACGAAAGCATGGGAGGCGGTGGCGCCAATGTCGGCGGCTCGGGGCGATCTTGACGTGGCGGTGCTCGAAGGCAAGCTGTACGCTGTGGGCGGGTACGGCGGCGGCTGCCTCAGCTCGGTCGAGCGGTACGACCCGGCGCTGAACGCGTGGGATGCGGTGGCGCCGATGGCGCAGGCGCGGAACGGTCCCGGAGTGGCGGTGCTTGAAGGCAAGCTGTATGCGGTGGGCGGCTTGAACGACGACGAGGGCGGGTTCAGCTCGGTGGAGCGGTACGATCCGGCGCTGAACGCGTGGGAGGCGGTGGCGCCGATGAGGACGGCGCGGTCTCATCTCGGCATGGCGGTGCTCGACGGCAAGCTGTACGCTGTCGGCGGATACGACGTTGACAACGGCGGCGTCCTGAGCTCGGTCGAGCGGTACGATCCCGCGACGAACGCGTGGGAGGCGGTGGCGCCGATGGCCACGGCGCGGAACGGTCTCGGAGTGGCGGTGCTTGAAGGCAAGCTGTATGCGGTGGGCGGCTTGCAGCGCAACGGGATTTGGACGGGATTTTCCCCCTCGGTGGAGCGGTACGACCCGGCTGCGAATGCGTGGGAGGAGGTGGCGCCGATGGCGACAGCGCGAGTGGATCTCTTTGTCTCATAGGCTCTCTCTAGGTGGTCGCCCCGCAATGGCAGTGCACCAGTGCTACCCTCGCCAAGCCTCTGCGTCAAGAGCCTCAGAGAGGTCCTTAGATCGCAAATATATAGAAAGAAAACACGACGCGCGGGCAACGATATAAATTCTTTTTGTCGTGCGAGGGAGCTTTGTTCTTAATTCTAAATTCTTTTCCTCCCACTTGGAGCACTTGGAGTGCAGTCGGCAACCTCACATCCAGGGCCAGGGAGCTAGACGGGGTGTGGAGGGTGAGTTGAACAGGGGGTTGTGCGCCGGGCCCTCCTGCTCCGCCGCAGGCGCCTGTTGATAGGTCCATGTGATAGCCCTGGATGGGCAATGCATACGCCTCACTGGACCTCAGATCGCCCGACCGCGTCCCGGTGCTCTGCCGTCGGATTTGTGACGCCGCCGCACCGCGCCGCGGCCGGGGGCCCTCCGGAGGCCGAGGATGGCCGTGGCGGACCGGGACGAGCTCTGGGGGGGGGGGTGTCAGTGAGCATATTGTAGAGACTGGCCATGTGCACAATAACTCTCAGTCTAGCTAAGCGAGGGGAGGCGATTCCGGGGCCGTACAGCAGCTTGACGTGCTTCGCCGGCGTGCGTCCCGGAGCGGTGCCGGAGCGCGGCGAAATCGAGGGACACCGTCACCGACGAGCGCGTTGGACTTTTCACTCCGGACAAAGACGGCGACACGCACACGAGCTGCGGCCGTGTCGCCGTCTTAGCGGCGAGGCGCGGGACCGTCTGTGGCGAAGTGGGTCGCGTCCCTCGATTTCGTTCAACCCAGCATCCACACCCTTTAAGAAGCGCACCCAGCGAGCCGGATGATCGGCATCGGGCTACGGGCTAGAGAGCCCTGACCCCTAGCTAGGGGGGGTGCGCATTCGCAGGGAGAGGGCCGTAAACACGGGTCTCCGAGGGTTGGCCCCGCGTACCGGGTTTCCCCTTAACTGCGGACGCCCCCTCCACTCGGAGCTAATGAACACCACATTTTCTTTGTCTACACCCAGAAAATTCTTCTTTTTGCGCCGCCGCGGCCGACACACGCGTATTCGTTTTGTCCTCCTGCCGAAGGCCCTTTTGGAGCACTTGGAGTGCAGTTGGCAGCCGCAGGTCCTTTTTTCTTTTTTTCTGCTGCCCCGCGCAGCAACCGTCGGGCGACGACCCGGGGGCCAAAAACCCGGCGACGACGGCGCTCTGGATGGGGCGTGACCTCCTGCCTCCAACCTCCTTCCTTTTTGAGCAGGTGTGACGCCGCGCGAGCGACGCTCCGAGATCGCCCGAGATAGCGCGGCGCGGCCCCGAGATCGCCCGAGATAGCGCGAGATCGCCCGAGATTGCGCGGCGCGGCCCGAGGCGAGGTGGGTGGGTTGGGAGCGAGGGGGCGGAAGTGTTCAGTGCGGTAGATGGCGAGCTCGAGGCGCGTGAGCCGGACTTGTGAGCCGGACCACCCCCTCTTGTTCTCTGCGTTGTTGAGCCAGGACTCAACATACTCGGGCTCGTAATCCCAAACTGTCACTCCCCTTTCTCCCGGCCGGGGTGGGGCGCGCGCGGGGGCGGCGGGTGTGCGGCGGGTGTGAGGGATGTCTGTGAGCCCGAGAGCGATATGCCATGTCCGCCTTGCGTTTGTTTTCATAACATCGAAGGCTAAGCTCAAAAGAAAAGCAGTCGTGGCCGCTGCACCTCGCCGCCATGGCCTCCCACCGCATCGGCGCCCGCGTCGCGGGCCTCTCGCCAGAGCAGCTGTGCGCCATCATCGAGGCGCAGGCGGGCGCGAGCGACGCCGCGCTGCGCGTGGCGGACGAGCACGCCACACGGCTCGTGGAGCAGCCCGAGTGGGTGCTCTCCGAGGTCCTCCTCTCGCCGGACCTCGTACCGCACATCCTCGCCCAGCTGCCGACCAAGGAGCACGCCATCAAGGGGACGTGCCGCGCGTGGCGCCGCGGCTGGAAGGAGACGCTGAAGAAGCGCGATCGGCTGCGCCTGCTCGTGATCGGCGGCGAAGGCAGCGACGGCGAGTTTGTCAGCTCGATGGAGCGCTACGACCCGTCTACGAATGAGTGGGAGGAGGAAGCGGAGACTATGCCGCCGATGCCGACGACACGGAGCAATGTCGGTAAGGCGGTGCTCGACGGCAAGTTCTACGCAGTGGGCGGATTCTACGCAGGGAGCGCCCTCAGCTCGGTGGAGCGGTACGACTTGGCGACGAAAGCATGGGAGGCGGTGGCGCCAATGTCGGCGGCTCGGGGCGATCTTGACGTGGCGGTGCTCGAAGGCAAGCTGTACGCTGTGGGCGGGTACGGCGGCGCCGACGGCTGCCTCAGCTCGGTCGAGCGGTACGACCCGGCGCTGAACGCGTGGGATGCGGTGGCGCCGATGGCGCAGGCGCGGAACGGTCCCGGAGTGGCGGTGCTTGAAGGCAAGCTGTATGCGGTGGGCGGCTTGAACGACGACGAGGGCGGGTTCAGCTCGGTGGAGCGGTACGATCCGGCGCTGAACGCGTGGGAGGCGGTGGCGCCGATGGCGTCAGCGCGGTCTCATCTCGGCATGGCGGTGCTCGACGGCAAGCTGTACGCTGTCGGCGGATACGACGTTGACAACGGCGACGACCTGAGCTCAGTCGAGCGGTACGATCCCGCGACGAACGCGTGGGAGGCGGTGGCGCCGTTGGCCACGGCGCGGAACGGTCTCGGAGTGGCGGTGCTTGAAGGCAAGCTGTATGCGGTGGGCGGCTTGCAGCGCAACGGGATTTGGACGGGATTTCCCCCCTCGGTGGAGCGGTACGACCCGGCTGCGAATGCGTGGGAGGAGGTGGCGCCGATGGCGACAGCGCGAGTGGATCTCTTTGTCTCATAGGCTCTCTCTAGGTGGTCGCCCCGCAATGGCAGTGCACCAGTGCTACCCTCGCCAAGCCTCTGCGTCAAGAGCCTCAGAGAGGTCCTTAGATCGCAAATAGATAGAAAGAAAACACGGGGTGCAACGATATAAATTCTTTTTGTCGTGCGAGGGAGCTTTGTTCTAAATTCTAAATTCTTTTCCTCCCACTTGGAGCACTTGGAGTGCAGTCGGCAACCTCACATCCAGGGCCGGGGAGCTAAGAAGCGCACCCAGCGAGCCGGATGATCGGCATCGGGCTACGGGCTAGAGAGCCCTGACCCCTAGCTAGGGGGGGTGCGCATTCGCAGGGAGACTCTGGGGGGAGGCGGGGGCCCCCGGAGGCACCGTGCGCCGCGCAGCAGTGCGGAAACGGGGCTCCGGCTCCGCTAGTCTCAGCTAGCACCGACTTCCCGAATGATCACGGTTGATCAGAGGGCAGATTTGGAGAGATCTCGAGGAGTACACACAGATAGACCCTCCAACCATCAGAAACTCCAACCTGATCGGTCGTACTGACCGCCGACAGATCACTCCAGACAGCAGACAGGCCGACGTCTGCACACGGCCGGCCGGGCGAGAGGCTTGACACGATCCGACCCTGCGACCCTGACGCTGCTGCTCTAGCTATCAGACATGCGCTGCTGACTGCTGCCACAATGTGTGACCGGTGCTGGCCCACTTGGCGGCCTTCCCGGTCAGTGGTGAGGCGCAGTTCAGAGCTGTCGATGGCGCGATGCCGCACTGGTCCCACATTGGTGACACGAGACCACCACGTTTGCCGGTCCAAGAGAGAGGCACCGGCGCTGTCCTGAGAAGGTGCGTGGTCCCTCTTGACTGCCCATGCGCGCGAGGCTGTGTAGGCATAGCCTCGAGAGTGCCAGCAGCCAATCCGAGGCAGTTTGTGACGCGCATTGCGTCAGAAGCGTGCACGCGCTGGAAGGACACCTTCCTACTGGCCGTACGATCAGGTCGTCACTGAATGCCGAAGACTAAGGCCGCGAGCTATGCAGGCGGTCAGTTGAGCAGCATGGCACGGTCAGCAGCGCCGAAAGGATGCCGAATTCCCATGAAAACAAGTAAAATCGCGCAAAAAAAATCCCCAAAAAATCGGCGCCTGCGGCGGGCTGGGGGACCCCATCTCCCCCCCGCATGGGTACCCCCTAGGGCCCTCGCCTCCCCCCAGAGCAGGGAGAGGGCCGTAAAGTAAACACGGGTCTCCGAGGGTTGACCCCGCGTACCGGGTTTCTATTCCTTAACTACTCGGAGCTAATGAACAACAAAACGTGTTAGAGTTTGGTATTGCTAAAAATCTCTAATGAACACCTCCACGTTTTCTTGGCTTTAGGTGTATTTGTCTACACCCAGAAATTCTTCTTTTTGCGCCGCCGGCCGACACAGGCGTATTCGTTTTGGTCGACACATTGTACCCGAGAGTATCCCCGCGCGCCGGAATTTCTTTTTTCCTGCGCCGCCGGCCGAAATCACCCTCGCCGAAGAGGCCTTGCCTTGCTGGCGATGGCAAACGCACCGGCTCTAGATGCACTGTGCTGCTGGTGCTTGCGCAGCACACACTTGTTGTGGCGGTGGTGAATCCGTGCGTGCCCGTCGGGCTCGCTACCAGAGCGCCACGGTCCACATCAGAGCCAAAGCCCGCCGATCCGCGAGGCCTGACCCCGCGACTGCTGTGCCGACGCCGTGCAGGATCTCCGGGATAAGGGCATCGAGATTGCCAATGACGCGGTCCGCGACGACAACGCCGGCAACTATGAGGACGCCATCAACAAGTACTGCAAGGCTGCCGAGTACCTCATGACGGTTCGAGCCTCACGGGCAGTCGGGCCGACCGGGTCCACACGATCAATGATAACCGCAGTCCGCCCTGCCTCTCCCGCGCCCGATCGCACAGGCCACCAAGTACGAGAAGAACCCGGTCACCCTCAAGACGATCCGCGAGAAGAGCCTCGAGTACGTGCAGCGCGCAGAGGCGCTCAAGCAGGGTCTGGCCGGCAAGGGCGCGGGAGGGAAGAAGGCGGGCGGCGGAGGCGGCTCCAAGGAGGAGGAGGAGGAGAGCGAGGACGACGACGTCGAGCCGGAGCCGCTGACGGAGGAGCAGCTCGCCAAGGCAGAGGTGCGCGGGGCGAAGAAGAGTTGGAGTGGCGTGTGGCCAGCACCCCACACCGCACCACACACCACCACCACACGACCCACACTCGTCATCGGCACTGCTCGAGGGGCTAGGGTGGCCCGACGAAGTGGGGTCGCCCCTCTCTCCTAGCCAGCGCCCGGGCGGACGCGGAGTGCCGAGCCGCAAACCGCGGAAGCGCACGGCGCAAGACACGCGCGCCATCGCACTCCTCCCGCCCTCTCGTCCCTCCGCCGCCTCACCGCCGCCTCACCACGCTGTTGGCGCTCGCGCACCCCCCGGGATGCCAACACGCGAGGAGGAGGGGCGGGGCGGGTGCCCACGCACGGTTGCGATCTCCCGTTGAGGTCGGCGGACACACGCGCGCGCGGACAGACAGAGAGACAGACAGACAGACAGACAGACAGACAGACAGACAGACAGACAGACAGACAGACAGACAGACACACACACACACACACACACACACACACACACACACACACACACACACACACACACACACACACACACAACGCTCACCCACCGGCGTGCACTGCGGTGCAGGCCGAGATGAAGGAGGAGCTCTCCAAGCTGATCGGCATGGAGTCGGTCAAGAAGCAGATGGAGCAGCTGTGAACAGCGTCTCTTCACACCTGCAGCTGTGAACAGGCATGGAGTCAGTCAAGAAGCAGATGGAGCAGCTGTGAACAGCGTCTCTTCACACCTGCAGCTGTGAACAGGCATGGAGTCGGTCAAGAAGCAGATGGAGCAGCTGTGAACAGCGTCTCTTCACACCTGCAGCTGTGAACAGGCATGGAGTCGGTCAAGAAGCAGATGGAGCAGCTGTGAACAGCGTCTCTTCACACCTGCAGCTGTGAACAGGCATGGAGTCGGTCAAGAAGCAGATGGAGCAGCTGTGAACAGCGTCTCTTCACACCTGCAGCTGTGAACAGGCATGGAGTCGGTCAAGAAGCAGATGGAGCAGCTCTGAACAGCGTCTCTTCACACCTGCAGCTGTGAACAGGCATGGAGTCGGTCAAGAAGCAGATGGAGCAGCTGTGAACAGCGTCTCTTCACACCTGCAGCTGTGAACAGGCATGGAGTCGGTCAAGAAGCAGATGGAGCAGCTGTGAACAGCGTCTCTTCACACCTGCAGCTGTGAACAGGCATGGAGTCGGTCAAGAAGCAGATGGAGCAGCTGTGAACAGCGTCTCTTCACACCTGCAGCTGTGAACAGGCATGGAGTCGGTCAAGAAGCAGATGGAGCAGCTCTGCAAGCAACTCTCTCTCGACATCCGCCGCCGCGCCGAAGGGCACAACACCCTCGACGCCATCCGGCACATGATGTTCACCGGCAACCCCGGTGTCGGCAAGACCACGGTGACGCGAGAGAGATAGGTAGCCCCGGTGTCGGCAAGACCACGGTGACGCGAGAGAGATAGGTAGCCCCGGTGTCGGCAAGACCACGGTGACGCGAGAGAGATAGGTAGCCCCGGTGTCGGCAAGACCACGGTGACGCGAGAGAGATAGGCAACCCCGGTGTCGGCAAGACCACGGTGACGCGAGAGAGAGAGGTAGCCCCGGTGTCGGCAAGACCACGGTGACGCGAGAGAGAGAGGTAGCCCCGGTGTCGGCAAGACCACGGTGACGCGAGAGAGATAGCTAGCCCCGGTGTCGGCAAGACCACGGTGACGCGAGAGAGAGAGGTAGCCCCGGTGTCGGCAAGACCACGGTGACGCGAGAGAGAGAGGTAGCCCCGGTGTCGGCAAGACCACGGTGACGCGAGAGAGAGAGGTAGCCCCGGTGTCGGCAAGACCACGGTGACGCGAGAGAGAGAGGTAGCCCCGGTGTCGGCAAGACCACGGTGACGCGAGATGAGCCCGAGATGGGCCGAGATGGGCCGAGATGAGCCGAGATCGAGCCCGAGATAAGAGCCGAGATAGAGCTCGAGATGGGCCGAGATGGGCCGAGATGGGCCGAGATGAGCCAGGCCGCGGCTACCACCGCGCCTCATCGAGCACGAACGGAGTCCACCACGAAGGACCCCTCTCCAGGTGTCGCGGCTGGTTGCAAGGCTGTACCACCAGCTTGGCGCCCCTCCAAGGGTGGGGGTGGGGGGGGGGACACGGACCACGGCCGCTCAAGCCGAGGGCGATGAGTAGGCGTCTCGGCAAAGGACAGTGTGGTGGAGGTGCAGAAGGGGGACCTGGTGGCGGGGTACGTCAACCAGACGGCGATGAAGACGGCGAAGAAGATCAAGGAGGCGCGCGGCGGCATCCTCTTTGTCGACGAGGCCTACCAGCTGACGCAGGCGCTGCAGCGCGGACAGTCAGACTTCTCGGGCGAGGCGATCGACGAGATGATGAAGGTGAGGGACGAGGGGTTGGGGGGGGGGAGGGGGAGAGGGGGAGATAGGGGGAGATAGGGGGAGATGATGAAGGTGAGGGACGAGGGGTTGGGAGGGGGGAGAGGGGGGAGAGGGGGGGGGGGGTCCACGGCTCTCCCTCTGTCCGCACTCGCCGCCCTTCCTGCCCCACGGCTCTCCCTCTGTCCGCACTCGCCGCCCTTCCTGCCCCACGGCTCTCCCTCTGTCCGCACTCGCCGCCCTTCCTGCCCCACGGCTCTCCCTCTGTCCGCACTCGCCGCCCTTCCTGCCCCACGGCTCTCCCTCTGTCCGCACTCGCCGCCCTTCCTGCCCCACGGCTCTCCCTCTGTCCGCACTCGCCGCCCTTCCTGCCCCACGGCTCTCCCTCTGTCCGCACTCGCCGCCCTTCCTGCCCCACGGCTCTCCCTCTGTCCGCACTCGCCGCCCTTCCTGCCCCGCGGCTCTCCCTCTGTCCGCACTCGCCGCCCTTCCTGCCCCGCGGCTCTCCCTCTGTCCGCACTCGCCGCCCTTCCTGCCCCACGGCTCTCCCTCTGTCCGCACTCGCCGCCCTTCCTGCCCCGCGGCTCTCCCTCTGTCCGCACTCGCCGCCCTTCCTGCCCCACGGCTCTCCCTCTGTCCGCACTCGCCGCCCTTCCTGCCCCACGGCTCTCCCTCTGTCCGCACTCGCCGCCCTTCCTGCCCCACGGCTCTCCCTCTGTCCGCACTCGCCGCCCTTCCTGCCCCACGGCTCTCCCTCTGTCCGCACTCGCCGCCCTTCCTGCCCCACGGCTCTCCCTCTGTCCGCACTCGCCGCCCTTCCTGCCCCCCCGAGGTGATGAACGAGACGGGGCGGAAGTCGGTCACCTTCGTCTTTGCGGGCTACAAGAAGGAGATGGACGAGTTCGTGCAGCACAACGCCAGCTATCTCTCGGCTATGTATCTCGGCTATATCTCGGCCATATCTCGATAGGTTCGTGCAGTACAACGCCGGCCTCGAGTCGCGCATCAAGTGCCACCTTGTAGTCCTGTTCACACCGTGTTGTTCACACCGAGTCGCGCATCAAGTGCCACCCGCCCCCCCCTCGCCTCTTGCCGAGCACCCGCCCGCCGCTGGCGTGCGCGGCGTCTCCTCACACCCCAGGCTGGTGTGAACAGGCACCGCTTCCACTTTGACGACTACGCGGTGTGGAGAGGGCTACAAGGTGTGAACAGCATGGTGTGAACAGGTACCGCTTCCACTTTGACGACTACGCGGTGTGAAGAGGGCTACAAGGTGTGAACAGCATGGTGTGAACAGGCACCGCTTCCACTTTGACGACTACGCGGTGTGAAGAGGGCTACAAGGTGTGAACAGCATGGTGTGAACAGGTACCGCTTCCACTTTGACGACTACACGGTGCCCGACCTGTGCAAGATCGTCAACATCAAGATCAAGGCCAAGGGCTACAAGATGACCGCCGACGCCGAGAAGAACCTCAACGCAATCATCGACAAGAACACCACCGCCGACCTGCGCTCAAAGTGCGACGGGCCGGCGGAGTTGCCCACCCGCAGCGGCGAGCACGTGACAGGCCTGACTGTGCGCAGGTACAACGGCCGGCTGACTGACAACCTGCTGCAGTGGGCGGCCGACTGCATGAACCAGCGACTCGACCTGACTGCCTCGGGCGAGCAGCTCATCACGCTGACCAAGGACGACCTCTCCGAGGCGATCAAAAAGTTCCAGCTCGCAAGGCCGCCCCAGAAGAAGGACCCGGCGCTGCTCGGCGGCGAGCAGGTGGGGAGAGAGGGGGAGAGAGGGGGAGAGAGGGGGAGACATGGCCCCAGAAGAAGGACCCGGCGCTGCTCGGCGGCGAGCAGGTGGGGAGAGAGGGGGAGAGAGGGGGAGAGAGGGGGAGACATGGCCCCAGAAGAAGGACCCGGCGCTGCTCGGCGGCGAGCAGGTGGGGAGAGAGGGGGAGAGAGGGGGAGAGAGGGGGAGACATGGCCCCAGAAGAAGGACCCGGCGCTGCTCGGCGGCGAGCAGGTGGGGGGAGAGGGGGAGAGAGGGGGAGAGAGGGGGAGACATGGCCCCAGAAGAAGGACCCGGCGCTGCTCGGCGGCGAGCAGGTGGGGAGAGAGGGGGAGAGAAGGGGAGAGAGGGGGAGAGAGGGGGAGAGAGGGGGAGAGAGGGGGAGAGAGGGGGAGAGAGGGGGAGACATGGCCCCAGAAGAAGGACCCGGCGCTGCTCGGCGGCGAGCAGGTGGGGAGAGAGGGGGAGAGAGGGGGAGAGAGGGGGAGAGAGGGGGAGAGAGGGGGAGAGCAGAGGTGGGGCGCTCCTCGGCGGCGAGCAGGTGGAGCAGCAGCTCGGCGACGCGCGGCACACCGCCCACCGCCCTCTTGCCGCCTCCCTCGAGCCTCGTCGGGACCTCGCCTGCAGGTGGAGCAGCAGTTCAAGATGTGGGGCATCCAGCACCTCTCCGCCTTCTTCGTGCGCGCGGGCTACCGGCAGCTGGTCGACCTGATCCACCTGTCCAAGCAGGACATCATGGCCCTCGGCGTCACAAAGGACGCCGAGGTGCGGCGCGCGGTGCAGCTCGTCGAGCGGCTCAAGCAGGAGCACCGCAAGGAGTCTCTCGAGATGGAGCAGCTGTGAACAGCGTCTCTTCACACCTGCAGCTGTGAGCAGGAGCACCGCAAGGAGTCACTCGAGATGGACGCGCTCTTCGTCGACCCCGACTCTGTCGACGTCAAGACGTGGCTCGAGAAGCGGTCGCTCGGCGAGTTTGCAAAGCTGTATATCTCCCCATATCTCCCCACATCTCCCCATATCTCCCCAGGTCGCTCGGCGAGTTTGCAAAGCTGTTCGAGCGGCACCGGGTCGACTTCGAGGTGCTCGGCGACCTCACCTACGAGGACCTCAAGGAGATGGGCCTCAACGAGGTCGGGCCGCGCCGCCGCATCCACCGCCAGATCGTGCAGTGGCGCGACGACCGCGAGGCCAAGAAGGCGGACGCCATCCGGTCGCGGATGCAGGTGCAAGAGAACAAGGCCTACCTCGAGAGCCAGCAGCAGAACGTCGACGACCGGCTGCAGCACCTCAAGGCGTCGCTCGGCGAGTCGGGGTACGTCACCGGGTTGCGCCCGTCAAGCGGCTGAGGAGCGCGGGCGAGGGGGCGGCGCAGCGCCGCGCTGTGCGTGCGAAGCACAGCGGGGGCCAGCCGTGGGAGGCGGTGCCACCGCAGAGGAGGAGAGGGGCAGCCCCTGCCGCTTGCGTATGGGTGGGCGCTGGGCGAGAGGGGCCCACTACGCACGGCGGGCGAGGTGAGAGTACCTAGCGGAAGCTGACTGAGGAGGCGTAATCACGTGTCGACTGTCGTGTGTGTTCGTCTCTCTTTTTGGGGTGTGTGTGTGTTTCGGCGTGTCTGCGCCCGGCTGTCAGTGTGTGTGAATAGAGTCGCATCGTGGCTCGCCACACGGCTCTAGCCTCTACGCGAGAAACGACACCATGTACTCTACAGACTACACCCACCCAGGCCCCGCACCTCGCCGCGTCCGCACCGTCTCACAGACACCTTACGTTAGTCCCCTTACACACCGAGATCCGAGTCCACCACGCACCAGACTCCAGAGGAGTGTGCAGAGAAGAGCAGAGAGTGCAGAGCGCCTAACCCTAAGCGCGCGCGCGGCACACACATCACATACACACATGCACACAACAACGGCGACGCAATGTAAGTCAAACACGTGCGCACGACTCAAACGAGTGTGGCGCGATGGGCCTAGATAAGGCAGCCAAAATCAAAGGCACTTGCCCAGGCATCGTTTGCACACGCCAGCAAAGGGCTCCGACGGTGTGGGCACGTGTTTGGCAAGAAAGTCGCCGGTCCCCGAGTTGCATTTGCGGCGAGACTCCGCGCCTTCTCTGTCGCGCTCGACGTCTACGGGGTACGGCGCGGGTGGCTTGCGAGGCGAGTTCTTCGAGTCGTTCCTCTCATGAAGATGCGTGGCGACGTTGCCTCCTCGATGTCATCCTTCGAAGCGCGAGGTGACTTCTTCCCCTCGCCATACGAGCCCGGTGGAACATCATTTCGCGGCTTTGCAAAAATCTTGGCGGCCGCTCCTCCGCCCTGTCTCATTGTCCGTCCGAGGTCCGAAGCTTTAGCCTTTACACAGGATTTATGGATTACACCCATCACATCCGTTTTTTTCGAATGATTTTATTTTTCGAGAGGAGATCACAACCTGCCACGAGTTGAACCTCGGCATTGCGCTTGAGTTCAACCATCGCCTCTGGCTGAGGGCGTGTTGGCGGTTGGTGGCGTAGGCGGTGGCACGTTGGCATGGCAGGGGGGCCCCGGCTGAGGGGAATCGCGGTGCCGACCGAGGTTCCGCGGATCGACCTCAGCCTGCAGCGCCGCAGCGAGCACACGCACGGCGTCGTCGGCGCGATCAGGCGAGGCGCAGCCCCTCTCAACATCCACTTGGTGGGCCCGGCCCACGCGAAGATGGTTTGGCCGTCGCGGATCGCGCGGGGCTGGCGGAGGCGGCGCGGGACCACCGCCATGAGACGCGTGAGAAGGGCGCCGCGCGCTGTGGGAAGCACGTTCGTGCCCGAGCAAGGTTTCGGCCGGCCCCAGAGGCGGGCCCGCAGAGGCCGACCCAAGAGACGGGCCAGCCTGCCAAAAAAGAACAAACAAGCTGCGCCCGGGGGCATGAGATTGCACGTGCGCGACTCAGCGAGCGACGGACGAGCACATGGCTGAGTTGCTTGCACCCGAGCCGTCGGCGGAGGCGGCGGGTGGACAGCTGTTCCGCGTCGGCGATATATCCTCTGCGGCTGCGATCGCCAAGGCGCGGCGGTCCGACTTCCGAGAGGTTTTTGATGAGCGTGACAGGGAGGGTGATGCGCGCCTTGCGAAGCTGAAGCTGGCGCCCCTCGGCCAAGAGAGTCCTGGCAGGGAGCGATGCTCGGGCTGTGGCGTGATGCGCTCGGCCTTCTGCTCTGAGTGTCTTGCCATGCTGCCCGGGCAGGCCCGGCCGGAGATAGCGAAGTTGCCTTTCCGCTTCGTGATCATCACACACCCAAAGGAGCCGCGCAGCCGGAGCACGGGTGTGCACGCGGCGGTGCTGGCGGCCGGCTGCGTCACACTGAGGACGTTCGACAAGGGCGACGAGGCCTGCCTGCCACCGGAGCTCTTCCCAGCGGGAAGAACCTTCCTGCTGTTCCCGTCCGATGACGCTCTGACAGTGCCGCAGCTTGCGGCGAAGAGGGAACCGGCGGGGACAAAGGCACCGGCGAAGGCGCGGGTGCAGGAGGGCGATGGTGCAGATGAGGATGGAAACGCTGGCCGCCTCGTCGTGGTGGTGATTGACTCAACGTGGAGCCAGGCCAGGCAAATCATGGGCCACCCTTGCCTCCAAGCGTTGCCCAGGGTTGCAGTTGCGAGCCACCGGACGGCATTCTGGCGGAGACAGCATCTAGGGGAGAACTACCTGGCCACTGTGGAGGCTGTCTACTACGTCTGCACCGAGTCCCACGGCGACGCCTACGATGGCCGCTATGACAACCTCCTCTTCTTCTTTGTCAAGTTCCGCAGCTTGGTACGGCAGCGGATCGGCACTATCCCGTGCCCCACTGAGGCCAAAGGCAAGGTGTGCACCAAGCTCCAGTGCCAGCACTCGCACTCGCTCTCGCTTGGCGCTGATGATCACGGTCGCAAGCAGCCGGTGCTGCTGCCTGCTGGAGAGCTCTGAGGGGCCGACAGAGACGCTGCCAGTCTCAGGAGCCGAGTGAGCCATTCGCTGCCCCATAGAGCAGGTCATAAGTCATATATTAGGCGAGATATTAGGTGTGTGCGGTGACTGGATCCACTGCTGTATTGTGTTATTTTGTGTTATATTTGTGTATACAGCGCGCAGCACGGTGTGGTGCGGTCCGGAAACTACCGTACGTGAAACACGCATTGCGGCACTGTGGTATCGGGCGAAAAAAAATTCACGACGAGGTCCCCCGAGACGACAGGTCCGACCGCGACGAGGTGTCCAATCAGAGCCTAAGTAGGTAGGGAAAATCCCGGTCATCAGTATCATTAAATGGACTTGGAAACGACCTCGGAGGCATGCTCGGACGATCAGCGTACAACCGTACAACGCGTGGACTTGCGCCTTGTATTTTGCGGCTAACTTCTATTGTTAGGCCCCCCCCCGCGGCCCCGCTTGCCCCCCTCGCGCAGCCTCGCGGCCTCTTCCCACATGTACTCGAGTACTCGTTCTGCATGTCGCGCACCAGAACGTCGGGAGGTACTGTACCGATGGCAACTAGGATGAGGATGTGTCTTGTTCGGGCCGGTGTGTGTGTGTGTGTGTGTGTGTGTGTGTGTGTGTGTGTGTGTGTGTGTGTGTGTGTGTGTGTGTGTGTGTGTGTGTGTGTGTGTGTGTGTGTGTGTGTGTGTGTGGCGCGCGGCTCCTGGGAGACCACAGGGGGGTCGGGGAGAGCGACGCGTGCATAAAGCCGTATACGGCTTTACTTGAAGACGGCCGCAGACGTGTCAAGGCGGCGGTTTTGCAGGAATGCACCCAGCTCAAAGCTCAATGCACAATGGCAGTGGAATGTCGAGCCATACTACCTTTCGCATGAACGGCACATGGCGCTTTCCCACGTCCCAAGCGCCGTTCCAACCGCTACATATTGCACCTCTCTGCGGCAAAGTATGCCGCATCAAACCGGAAGCGCTCGAGCTCACAGAGGTGCGGAAGCAATGTCTCCAGCCTGGCCAGCGCCTCGTGCTGCTGCGCCACGATGCTTGGATCCACGACGGGCCCGCGTGGCTTTGCATTTTGCGCCGACAGTGCGGCGTTCTCGAGCATCCGCCATGTGTCCACCTCGCTCTCGGCGAGAGTTCCCGAGCACCGCGCGCATTCGCATGTGAAGCCCCAGCGAGAGTGTAGCTCCGACTGGCGCATCTCACGTGCAGCGAAGAGGACGGTGGCGCTGTAGCACAGCACGATCTCCTCCTCTGCTGCCACGTCGCATGCCACGATTACGTGGGCAAATTCCTCATTGTCGCACAGACGGATCGACGCGTTCGGCACACACGAGTGGTTAATGAGTGAAATGCGCCGGAAGAGGAGGCAACCCGCTGGATGCACAAAGTGGTTCTGTGCGATCTGCGACGCGGCCTCGCTACCACAGAGGCCTTCAAGGGCATCGGACGAGCTGGCGAGGTGAGCCAGTTCCATACAGCTCGACGCTTGAAGGGGAGCTTCGCTCATGACGCATGTGCCTGCTGTGAGGTGTCGAGCTGCGAAAACGCCACGGCCCGCGTTCGCCGTTTGCCGCACGTACGTGCAGTCGCTCATTTCAACCCCGTCCTCATCCCATTTCGCAGCCGGGGGTCGTGTGACGGGGCCGCGGGCGCACGGGCGGATGACCACGCACGGATATGGACCAATCGGGGAGCTCCCGGTTAGATAGTAACCCAGTATTCTAAGTATGGTTCTTGCACTTGTGCAAGATTGGGCGTCTTCTGCCGCAGTCCCTTTGATGGGAGGCCCCAGGGTGGGGGCCACCTCGAACCCCCGGCCAGGGATTCGAGCGGAGGGTGCCCCGGATTCATCTATCCGTTGGGCCCCGGCACCTATTTTAGAACTGATCACTTTGCGCAGCAACCGTCGGCCGCCGCTTTTTAGCTGGACGGCGGTACGCTGCGCCGTCGCTCTGTCGTGCACGCTCTCGTGCCTCGTTGTTGTGACACGGGAGTAGAGTCGAGAGGTAGTCCTCGACGAGACGACCGGCGCTGCGATGCCAGCCCTCGCTGCCGCCGAGCTCAGCATTCCGGCCGAGCAGCACCCCGATCCCGCAAAGCCACTGGTGATACCCGCCGACTCAACAGTGGTAGGCTCTACCCTGCGCTTCATTCCGTGGTCTGTGTTGGGCAATCCGGCCTTCCTCAATCTGCCCCCTCCTCCTCCAGGGATGCAACCGTCGTGGGTCCAGATTCCGCAGTGGGTCGCCATCAGTGCGCTGCTCCCGTTCAGTGAGCCCGAGCCCGCTGTGGCCACCTACTTTGACAGGCTCAGCGTCTTGCGGCTGGGGGTTGGGTTGTTCCGCGTGAGGTTGGGTCGTCGGCGCGAAGGGTGAGGTCTCGACCGCCGCCGCTCACGCCAGCGGACGGCCACCATCGGTGTTTTTGGCTTCGCCACCGTCCAAAGCGTGCGCAATGCGCTCGCCGGCATCGAGCGAGCACGCCTGTCCGACGAGCGGCTTGCTGTGTGGACGCTTTCTTGTGGCTCTCGTCGAGAGCGTTTTGCGTCCCGGCGGGTGGGAGAGCATGTGTCGTCTGATGTGTCACTGTGTGCGTCACATCGGTCTTGATAACAAGCACGGTCGATCCGTCAAAGCGATACACTCGTTCCTATCACATATTCTCCCACCCACCGGGACGCAAAACGCTCTCGGCGAGAGCCACAAGAAGGCGTCCACACAGCAAGCCGCTCGGTCGATCACGTTGCTCGCTCGATGCCGGCGAGCGCATTGCGCACGCTTTGGACGGTGGCGAAGCCAAAAACACCGATGAGAGAGTGCGTTGTGTTTTTGCCTCTGCGCTTCTCTTCCGTGTAAAATTGTCTTCCGACGGCGAGGGCGGTCGAGTGCACGCGGAGCTAAGTGCCTCGCCGTCCTCGCGGGAGTCGCTTAGGCGGCTCCCGTGGTGTACCTGTGTTAGTGCCAGTGCGCGCCAGTCCCGTGCCTAGTGTCAAAGGGGGAATAAAAACGTAAAATTCTCTTCCGACGGAATGGCAGCTTCGCCTTGCGGCGATCCGTGGAGTCTCCACTCCCTCTCCGTCCTCACCGAGTCCGTTCGCTGCCAGCTGCTCGCGCTCGAGGAGGCTGCCTTCCCGCCCTGCGAGCGACTCGGCACCGCCGGCCTCGCGGCGTTCGTGCTGCAGCGCACCAATGGGATGGTCGTCGCGGAGGCGCCGTCGCGCCGCGCCGTCCTAGGATTTTGCCTCTACTCGCGCGCCGCCTCGAGCGCCCTCATCACAAAGGTGGCGGTCGGCGCCGCTTCGCGGGGCAGAGGCGTCGGCTCGGCGCTGGTGGCTCGCGCGCTGCAGGAGATCGTGACGTCGAGCCGGCGGCCGCCGGGCGAGGTGCTCCTACACGTGGACCCTGAGCGCAAGGGCGCGCTGCGTATGTACGAACGGCGCGTTCAGTGCGGTGCCGCGCTGGCGGCGGCGGCGGCGCGCTCCGACCAATCGTGTTGCGCAAAATAGGTTCGGGTTCGAGGCGGCGGAGCGGCTGCCGGGGTACTACCCGGACGAGCACCCGCCCTACCGCGGCCGCGACGCCCTGCTGATGCGTCTCGACACCGCGACGCTGTCGCGCGCCTCACCACCCCGCGGCCGCAGCGCGAGTGGCTCTGCTGCTGGGGGCGGATGATCCGACCTCCGCGGCGGGGCTGTGCGTGCGTGTGTGCGTGTGTGCGCGATCGGCCCTCGCTCCCGCGCGTGGGTAGGTGGTCGACCCACGGGGAGGGGAGATGGGGTTGGTGGCGATGGAGAGGTGATGGTGGAGGGTCAACTCTTTGGCTGGGCGAGGAAGTGTGGTGACTGTGAACGTTGGTTGTAAATTTATCCGTTGTGCACTCAAAGTACAATGATCAGTACAAATAGAGCCGTCTGAGCTCACAAAAGTTGTTGCTGCTGATTGGTCTGGTGCCCTTTTCGGAGGAGTGTCTGGTGCGCCTCGCTGGCGCCACCACCCGCGTCCGTCCTCGAGCCGTCGCTGTCGTCGTCTGCGCAGTCCTCTCGCTCGCTGTCCTTGGCGTCGCCGCTGTCGCCGGCCGTGCGCACGCCTCCCTTCGCCGCCGCCGCCGGCCGCACCTCTGGCCGGCGGCTTGCGCGGTACCGGAGTCCGATCTGCGCGCCCAGCGCCAGGAAGACGATGCCGATACCGAGCAGCTCCATCGGCACGACCTACCAGGACGGTTCCGAGAAGGTTCCGAGAAGGTTCAAGAAGCCGATGCCGAGCAGCAGCTCCGTCGGCGCGACCTCGTGGCCGAACTGGACAAAGGAGTTGAAGATGGAGAGCAGCTGGCGCACCTGAGAACCAGCCGCCATGGCATCAGTCTGCGGCCTGCCGCCTCTTTGACCCGCCGGAGGGCTGGCCCGCCGTCTGGATGGTTGCGAAGACCAGCGGGCCGTACGTCTTGATGGTGTGAAAGATGAAGAGCTGACCTGCGGCGGGCCATCGAGGATGAATGGAGAATCGCCACCAGGGGTCTCGACGGTGCGGGGAGGGGAGGCCGACGGCTCTCGGCGACTCTCGGCGACTCTCGGCTACTCTCGGCGACTCTCGGCGAGTCTCGGCTGGTTGGTGGCCGATGGCGGAGCAGACGGCCATGAGGAAAATGTGCGGCAGTATGGCGGGGTTCTCGCTGACGAAGCGAGACACGTCCGCGAGCTCCCAAGTGAGGCAGAGGCCGAGGGCGGTGAAGGCGGTCGAGAAGAGGTTCGTGTACACCATCATCGTGATGGAGCCGACCGAGTACTGCTTGAAGACACGCGACTGGTAGTTTGAGGTGAAGGAGTCGCACACCATGTACGCCGAGATGAAGCAGACGCCCAGCAGCTCCGTGTCGCGCACGGGTGCCTCGTTGACCTCGTACGTCTTGAAGAGAAAGACGCCTACCCCAATCCCCACCACCCATGAATCCTCATGACGACAGTCATGGCCTCGCAAGGCCGGAGGAGAGAGC